GAAGATGTGTCAATGTGTGTAAGGATAAAACAGTCCTAGATATAGGAGAGTAACTTCAAAGAGGCTAGGATATCACCTCTAGTATTTTCATCAAGGTATGGTTTAAGATGTCCATTCCTAAAGAATGTCCAGTGTAAAGAGTGTTCAGCAAACACAGGAAATGCATTTCTTACCTTTCACCTCTCTATCTTTTGGAGTTTACTACATTAACAGTGTCTTTCTAGCAGGTATAAATTTAGGACTTCCTAAATAGTGGCTTCCCTGGTTATTGAGAAGAGAAGCTATTCATCAGGTCACTTCTAGCATTTTGCTCGCTTTCACAAGTTTAGTGCATGCTGAACAGTATCAGCAAGATATCATATATCTTTTTAATTAAAAAATTGATCCTGAGGTTTATGCTGCCAGAAAAATAAAATACTGTATATTATTTCTCATGTAAAAATGAATCTAAGAAACTATTTTATGAAGAGTTCATGTTTGGAGTCGCAGACTGCGGCTGCCTTGCCATCCAAAGAACGTGCATGCAAGCGCTCTGACTTGGAAACAGCAGTTAATCAACATGGCACCCAGCGCTGTGCTCGCTGCCATCCTTTGCAGCAATGTTACCAAGCACAAAATGAACAACAACAACAAGCGTTATGTTTTGCAGCTGAGGAAATAAAGGTCAAGCAAATTTTAAAAATGTGTCTTTTTTTTTAACCCTCTGTGTTCCTAACAAGTCAGCACCTGGAATACAAGTTTGAGGAGTGCTTTCATGAATAACTAGGTCATACTGAATCTTCCCGTCATGCATTGACACAATTCCAAACAGAATTTTCACAGAAAAGCCTACTGGATTTTAGGGAAGCTTACTGAATTACGCTGCAGTTTCACTGCAGGTTCACTCCCTGCAGTATCTTTTTTTTTTTTCCCCCCCTATAATTGCCTCTTCTCCACCTCCTCCAAATATGCTTTTTCTCACACCATCCGCCTTCTGGCCCTCTGTAATAAGATAATGCAACTCCTATCATGGAAAAAGACGTTGGGTTAGGACAGTGCTCTACGTTCAGGCCTGGCTTCTGTTGCTCCTAGTGAGAAAGAGAGATTGACACTTTCCCCTCCAAGCTTCCTAGGCTAAATCTGGTTCAACCTCTTCCTGTCAGCAACTGTTGCCTGACTCCCCAGGCAACCACTTGCCCTGTGGTTTGGATCAACCACCTCGCACATCTGTACCTGCCCCAGTTAAGCGCCCAGGCACCTAATGAACCAGCATGTCCAGCATGGCACCTCTGTGCCTGCATGAGGTTTTCTGTTCCCACCATATCATTCTAAAAATTCAGGCACATCCTTCCTACACTTTTTTTCTTTCTCTCAATCACTGATCTTACTTTTTTAATCAGTCCTTGAACTCTGTCATATCATCTTGAACTCATAAAGCAGCATTGCTTTGTTATTGCTAGTGACTCCTTTGAGCATGCGTGGTGACTTCATGAGTAAGCACCAACCTCTGTGTTGTGTTTCTGGGGTATGCAAAGTGCAGTCAAGGACTAGAGTGAGCAGAGCAGAGAGGTTGATACCAAGTTCATGATGAAGCAGCTGATGATCAGAGGACTTCAGGCAGGCTATTTTATCAATATCAAGACTATTTTTTAAAAAAGATCCTATTTCCCTCTTTCTCTAAACCCACACTGCACTCATGGCATTCCACCTGCTTTGTAGCAAATCTTGAGTTGTGGGGATGACTGTGGATATCCCTCATACAATAGTGCAAAGACTTTGGCTTGAGAAGATGCTTTTTCTTAATAGGATCTTGACTGGCAAGTGATCTTTTCCTTTCGGTGTGTAAGCATTTCTGTGGAGCAAAGTTTCATTCCAAAATCAAGAAAATCCTCCTCCAAATAAAATTAGGCCAGAGAACACCAAACATGACCTACACTGTTTCTTTAGCATGGTTTCATGTTTGCCACGAGTGAATTGGAATATACAGCCAAAATATTTGACATATACATTTGTCAAAGTTGTTCTTTAATGTATCTGCAAGGTTATCTTTGCACTCAAAACTTTAGGGTCAAGCAAACAGCAGCAATAATTAAAGACATATGTCACAGCTTGTCTATTCTAAGGAACCTGGGCCTACTGTTATCATGTTAAGCAGAGGGATCAGTACAGGGAACAGTAGCTCAGCGATCCAGGAAGTGGCGCTTAAAACTCACCACTGAGTGAAGAGGCCCAAAAATGATATGTGAACACTCCTCACTCCAGCTCACAGAGCAGGGCAGTCGGTTCAAGATGAACCAGACACTACCTCATTTCAGTGGGTACATGACAGCTCTCACTCTGGCATATGTTTCCTCGTAATTGCATCACTATATTTGAATTAACCACAAGAATCACACGTCCAACACTGGGAAGGTCATGTCATCAGCATGATCTCCACTTATAGCAGCTAGATCATTTACTTACTTACATTTATACAGCTGCTTTCACACAAACAGATCCTAAAGTTAAAAACAAAATGATATATGAAGAACATAGAAGGAACACTGTATCTGTCCCTAAATTTAAAGGTCAGCCTAAAACAGTCCTCTAAATATGAACTTGCCACAAGGATTGGACATTTCAAATCAGCTTCCTTTTGCACCTTCTTAATAAAAACCAGTCATGCTTTTACAAAATATTTAAGAATTAATTGAGTCAAAGAAGAAACAAGTGAAAATGGCTAAGTAGCTGGCTGCTGGTTAGAAATGTTCTTGATGCATGACACTCCAAACAATACATAATTATTTGCCAAAAAAAAAAAAACATTTATGAGAGATATGGCATCAACATAGGGCACCCATCCTACGACATTCCCACAGGCTATAGATGTGGACGCTCTAAGGAAAAGTAAGACAGTAAGACATAGTTTCAAACTCACTCAAGCCGAAGAGCAAACTGAACTTGGGTCTCACACAAGTTGATCATCTGGCTTTTTCATAGACTTGGTAAATAACAGAGAGATGGCAAGTCCAACATCTTCCCAAGCTTTTTGAATAAAGCCTGTAAATTAACCTGTTTGGTTCATCTGACAGAAGTTTTAAGATGACTGAAACTATATCTCTTGAAGCAGAAACCGTTGAACCAGAAACCTTTCCTGAACCTTTTATAGCGGAATTAGTGATTCCGATATAATAAAATGCCCTTTCTGTTACCCTCTCTCTCTGCTACCATTTTTTCCCCTATTTGTTCATCATTCCAAAGAAAACAGCAGCCTTCTTTATAAAACTTACAGATGTTGAAGTTCTTCCAAAAGAAAGTTGTTATTCCTATTGGGCAAATGATAGAATATCTTTTTAAAAATTTTTTTTTCCTTTAATACTAATAAAAAAAGTCAGGGACTCCAAGGTCAATATATACTAATGAGATGAATCAGGATCTATGACTGAAATGAGAGTCAGGGTGACCCAGCTGCCTCCGAAAAAATCTATCGCTTGAGCAAAGCAGGCTGGGGCAATCTAGTATCTCAACTTCCAGTGCTGTTACCATGGTTTCTCTACAAAGAGAACTGGACTGCATTCCCATTACACTCTTTGTGATGACAAATAAAGGAACACAGGAACTAGGATAATAACATCTTAGGTGACCTGTCAGAAACAGCTGTGACAGTTACAAGTGATAGAAACTACTTAAATTTATAGAATGTAAATCGATATATTCGAAACTTGCTGTCTGTCTATTGGGTTTCCCCTGCCTTTATTTTGTGGTGGTATAGAAATGATTCAAAGAAACATGAGTTGCACAGTTAATACAAATCACGTTGCTATTCTTGATAACTCTCATAAAGACAGCCTGGCAGTCCAGTGCAGGATCATGTTGTACATTTCATTCAACAGTATGGCCTCAACTCTGTTGATTAATCAGTGTTGAAACTCGGATGCAGCCAGATGTATAATATTATTCATGTCTGACATATTAAATTTGTTTACTGAGGTTTACACTGCAGGAACTTAGAAGTAGGTTGAAAAGATCCTGAAGCTAAATGTGATTTCTAATTTCATATCCAGTTTTATCAAAACATGTTTGACTCAATGCATCTATTTCCTGAAATTCTATCAACTAATTGAAAGTTTTTGCATGTAGAGACCATCAGATAAAGTTCTTAATTCTTTGGGTATACTAGAACATAATAATAAACTGAATTTTCAAAGTTAGGCATATTAGTCCTTATCAAACTAATATACATACCTGTTATATATGTGGAAAGCAACAAGACTGTCACCTCAGCATGTAAAAGCCAAATAACTGATTTGGATACACACACCCACACACAGAATATATAGACCGTGTATACCATGGCTGGTTGTACATAACCTGAGCACTTAAAAAACACATATTTTGTCATTGCAATTATCCAAATGCCATTAAAAAATCATCTCATTTTGAAAATCTGGCCTGTAGAATATAGCTCATAGCAACTGAGAAGATCTAGTGATTCACCACTATTGGAAGAAGGACTCCTTTCAATAACTTTCCCCTTTCATTCCCACCTATTTCCCTGAACCAGCTCTAGGAGATCCTCTTCCCAGAGATGATTAAATGTGTTGACCTGAGTAAAAAATTACTTTTTTTCCCCCCGTATTAGTTTTTTTGTTGGTTTACTGAGTTGAATCTGCTCCATAAATGTAGCGTAAAATATAATAATAAATAAATGCAAAGGCTAATACAAGGTAAGTTGAGGAAGAGGACAAGGCTTGAAGCAAGGAACGAGGTAAAACTCCATTCTCTTGATGGCAGCAAGCTACCAGATTGTCAGAGAAAATTGACTCAGAGTGATTTTTCTATGGCCTCTGGAGCATATGTAAATGCTCTCAGAAACTAGCAGAAATTCATTTAAGAAGCAAAATAGTGTTGTACTGAATTAGTTTTATTTAAACGTGAATAAAAGCCTCATGATCACAAAACGTATTAGAAGTGAAAATCCAGAGAGGTAAAGCAGAATCTTGTAGCACACAAGTAAGGAATTATTGCATAAAGTGACTTACCTTAAAGGAGATTTCATACTGCTCTCCTCCCCATATTTCTAATCCTGGATCATAGCCTCCCAGCTCCCAAAACCATTTTCGGTTAACAGCAAATAGTCCTCCAGCCATAACAGGAGACCTGAAGAAGGCATAAAGCAAACTATGAATGACAGGCACCCTCATGCCACGCTTGAAAAAGTGAAAAGATTGACAATGCTCATGGACTAACAGCAATGAAGATGCTACCAAGAGCATGTGCATGCATGTGTCTGCATGTGTGTGTGTGTGAACGTAGCTGTCTGGCTCCCACAATCCCAAAACTATGGAAGGAGCAGACAAAGTGTTGCAAACAAGCAATATCTACCCTTATTCACCCCAGATGGACTCTGACTGAAGAAGAATTGGCTGTGGGAGGCAAAAGAAAAGGACTCTGGAAACATGCAGAAGTACTGAATGCAATTCCTGTATTCTACATAAAGTAACCCACTTTTGAAAATGAATTTTGAAAGTGAGCAAAACTTGTCAATTCATTTCAGTCCCATAGGTGCTGGTTAGAGGAGGGCAGAAAGGTGACAGTGGATGGCTACAGAGAAGTGACAGTTGTTGAGAGTTAAACATCTGCTCTTCTACAGTGGCATTACTCTTAAACTTTGTCTCATACTGATAATTTACCTCACAGGCAAATAGTTCACTATGCTCCTTGGTAAAAAAATCACATAAAAACATATGGAATTTACTTGAATTGCTTTAACTCACCTCTTTTCATAGACAATATAGCAAACAAATTTAATATTTAAAATTAATATTGGAGAACGTTCCCAAAAAGTGCATTTTAAATGTATAAAGAGTAATTTTTGTAGTAGAAAGTACGAGTTATGTTCACTACCAGGAAGATCATGTCTCTAATGCTGTAAGTACATTGGCAGCTCTCAAGATTTAAATGCTGCTCACTGATTCCTTGAAGTTGCAGTGGAAGAGAGATATGATGGGACTAACATTGAACAGGAGGGAGGATTTAGGCTGAAGAAAGTCCAGTCCACTCAATTCAGCTCAACATTTGCCCTGTGAGTTTTGGAGCAAGGGGCTAAGAGACATTTCTGTTGATGGCTGATCAGCAATAGGAAAGATAAGCAATTTTCACTAGATAAAAGAGATCTGGTTGTCTTTCTGTCAGTACCTCCTTGCGGGAGAATAAACATGAAACGAGGTCCTATGTGACGTGCTTTGTAACATCGCAACCCCTGAGGGAAAATTATCTGACCTAGGGGCATTTTTTATTTGAATTACTATTGATGATTTGTTTGCGGCTATGGAAGCAGATGCTACCATTCGTGAAGAACTCGCTGGCAAATAAAAACTTCATCCTTTGCCACTGATTGAGGATTTGGTAGTGAACTGAGGACTGATATCGCAGGAATCCACACGTAAGTTAGAAGTTTATTAAGCAGGATATCAAGTTAATGGAACAATATCCTGCCCTGTTTTCGCTGTGTTGCCAGTTTTGATAAAGTTATCTTTCCGTCATGACAGGGGAGAAAATAACATAGCAAGCCAATGGTGGCCTCTGCCACCATTTGAATGTTACACAGGAATGTTAGAAAATGATTCTCTCATCCATATTCATGATAATGAAAAATATTATAGATATTTTTCCTTTCACCTCTATTAGACAAGTTTGCTTTGTACGTATTTAATTTTTTAAGTTTATATTACATCTTATATTAAACTATCCATTTTCTCAACTAGGAAGCTCTAACAGACTAATTAATGTCCTCTCAGGACAAGAGGCAATGGGCAGAAACTGAAACATAGGAAGTTCCATCTGAACATGAGGAAAAACTTTACCAAGAGGGTAACTGAGCACTGGAACAGGTTGCCCAGAGAAGTTGTGGAATCTCCTTCCCTGGAGGTATTCAAAACCCGCCTGGACGCAATCCTGGGAAATATGCTCTAGAGGACCCTGCTTGAGCAGCGAGGTTGGACTAGATGATCTCCAGAGGTTCCTTCCAACTTCAACCATTCTGTGATTCTGTGATTCTATTTTCTTTTAGAGCTTACATTTTTAAAAGCACGTAGTGGCTTTGTGAAACAAAGCTGCAGTACTCTTAACTGGCAAGGCTATGCTGTATAACATACACTGAATGCTAATATATTTTTACTTTTATTGACATTTCATACCTTAGATATTGACTGTTCTCTCCACATATGAATAAATTAAATGGAGTTTTTATTAGAAAGCTTCCCCTTAGGATTCTGACTACTACAATATATTTTCAGTTCCTACCAAAGTAAATCTAATTACAGCATGTCCCTTGTGACTTCAGGTTCTAAATAATCAAAACACAATTTCCATTTATAAAGACAGACTTGCATGAAGAATGCTTATAACTAAATTTTTGAATGGAGAAATGAAGAAATGAAGCCCCAGAAATCACTGGAGAAACGCAGGTTTTTGCTAATTCTATTCGGTTCATGTATTTCATACGCATTCCTCTTGCCACAGTGAACAGACTATGAAAAAGGCAGTCCCCTCAGCAGGTGAGTCAGAGGCAAGATGAAAAAAAACAGAGACTTCACATTGAGAAATAATTGGCAGATACTTACAAATGATAATTAATCTATAGATTTCTCCAGTTATAACACTGAGTAATGACACTCCTTGTTATTTAGATGCTAGTTCACGAGAGTTCAGAATATGTATTACAATTAGCAAAACTACTAAACAATTGACTGGAACAGCAGCAGATACAAATTTTTCACATCTACTTTTTTAAAAAATTGATTTTTCATGTAATCTTGCTCTGTTCATTCCTACTCCACAACACATTCTCTCTCACACTTGGTGCCCTGCAGGAAGAGAGATGGAGGGCACAAAAAAGAATGGCTTTCTGGTTTTTATTGGAGTGGGAAGAGCAATATGTTGCATGAACCTGACCATTTGGCACAGAATATGTATTCCATTCCATTCCACAAGCAGTTACTACAGAACAGGCCTGAGATTGTCTCCAAAACATGAAGGCAAGAGTCTAACTCCACAATCATTACTGATATGAAAAGTTCTTTTGTAGTCAATAGGATCACTCACACAGGTAAGAACTGCACTGAGCCCAAAGGAGGAGAATTAATCTCTTGTTTCATGGCTTCCATATAGAAATGTCAAGTACAAAGCTATGTCTGTAGGAGTCATTGTTCATGAAATATCCTACTCAAACACTTAAATAATCAGACTTGAGTTACTGTAGCATAATATTAGGTGAGTAACTATGGTAGAAAGCTGTAAAAGACTTCTAGACATAGACTTCAAAGGAAAAAGTCTCCCAAAACACCAGCCTGGAAAGGCTAAGGTTACTAAACTTAAAAGTACGTATAAAAAACTTCCACTTGAGAAGTACTATACAGACTCACTGAGTACACTTGGAATAATAAGTTAAAGTCAGCTGATACAAAAATAGCGCAAGAGGTCACAGATTCCTGTGCTGAGATGGAAAAGGAATTTGATTTAGTTAGGGAGCTAAAAAACAAAATTATTTTTTTGTGAAAAAAGATAGACTGAGGAAATGGCAGGCAAATGCTTAATGTGAAAAGATAGCTTACAAAGAAATTTATATGGAGTACTAAAAGAACTGTGGCAATAGCTTAAATGCAGCCAGTGAAGAATTTTAGAACTGCTCCCAGTGTACAGGCTGAGGAAGAGAAGAGATCACCTACACATTTTCAAGGTAAGAGAAAGAATGACAGCATATTAAAAAGAATATGAAGTTACTTGCATTAGAAACAAATGTAACATGTTGGTGAACTGCTTAACAGGGTTTGTAATCATTACAGTGCAAGAGTAAGATATATGTATTTATATGCAGTAGACCTAAATTACTTATGAACACGTGAAAAGGAAAGAGGAGCATTGACAACTTATAGAAAGACACTTTAGGAAGTGAAAAGGGGAAAACAACTGTGTCAGACGAAGGACGCAGTAAGTACACTGCAGTTACTGAGTTGTTGCCCAACATGACACATTTATTTATGGTCACTAGATGAACGTAGGTTTGCACTGTGCAGATACTACACCGTGCATTGATCATCATTGAATAGAGACGATATTGTGTACTAGGACACTCTGGGAAAGGACTGATGAAAACTGCTGAACAGAACTCTTGAAATTTCCCCACTGTAATTGCAAATCTGAAATGAGCTTCCAGTCAATGACATATTTCACTACACATTGCTTTGAATAAGCCAGACCTATTAAAGACTTTATGCTGAACTACTGAACAAAAGCGCCAGAAAGATCCCTCCATCTTATGCAGAATATGTTAAAGACACATTGCACAACCAACGGGGATACAGTACAAAAACTGGGGTAAATATTAGCCTGCATCAGGAGTCAGTATTGGGTCCTGTTGACCTAGTGGAGTCATGGATGTGACAGAAGGGAAGGAGGGGGGCTACTTTGCTGCTGGCAGTGATGTGCACAGAAACAACTGGCGACCTACTGAGCTCAGCTTTGAAGTGGGCTATATTCTTGTGCTCCTTTCAGAGTTGAATAGCAACGTCCTGCTAAGCAAGGAAAGTGCCCCTTCTACCCTAGCGACACCATAGGAAGGCAGCTTAGAAGAGCAAAAAATCAAGTTCCTTGTTTCAGCGTAACTGCTGCTGGTGCCTTCTGCAGTGATTCCAGATACTGCTCTAAAGCTGCTTAATGTAAATGGCAGGAGCTGATGCTAATCCTATATAATAAAAGGTTCTAACAAAATTGAAAATTAAAATCTATGTATGTGTAATGTAAGAGATAAAGACTTGGTTACTCACATGCAATGAAGTGGGTGTGGAAATGAAAGAAATGAAGATGAAGAATTGATGAAATAGCTAGAAAGTGATTGAGATTAAAATAACTGACAAAAATATGAATTTATCATAGGTTGCTTCAACTGAAGATAAAGTGATGGACAGTAGGCTAAATTAGCATTGTCATTTTGCAAAGATCTGTGAATCATATTGGTCATGTGGGTCTTGCAAAGACAGCTGGAGAAAGATCATCAAGCAGAAGAGTAATGCATTGCAAAGGGAAAAAAGATGCTGATGTAGTCAAAATCTGAGTGAATGTGGATCAGACTGTGACATCCCTTAATGAATTTTTGAAGA